TCGTAAGACTCCACCCTCTGCAGCCTCAAAATTGCAAAAATGAAAGACTTTGAGAAGGAAGCTGAAGAGCACCATGTTCCAGAATGGCAAGAGCAGAGAGAATTTGTTCCTCAGATTCAGAGTGCTCAGTGATCCAGGTACTTAACCCTTATAGCCAGGAGAGAGGGAAGCCTGGCTACTGCTCCAGGTGAATGCAGACCTTGGCATTATCCATGTAGCACTGGTTCTAGGTGCATGCACAATGGAAGAGTTGTGGGGTTAAGAAGGCTTCTACCCCAATTTCAGAAGGCCTGGAAGGTCAGAGGGCGGTGCCCCTAAGAGGGCGGTGTTTGTGAATCTGTAAGTGTGAATCCAAAGGTGCAGTGGAGACCCCAGAAGTTTGGAAAAGCCAGGAATGTGGATCATCCAAGGAAAGCTGCAAGGAGGGAGCAAAGTGGGCCTAAGAAAGAAGCCATGGAAGTTACAATTACTGGAAGTGCCATAGGAGCAGAGCCACCCAAGCCCTTTGGAGCCCACAACTCACCACAGATTGCCTCAGCTGCGGCACATGGAACTACAGGACTTAATGTCTGTCTCGCTGGAGTTTGGACTTGCTTTGGTTCCACTCCTTTGTATATATCCCTGTTTGTAACTTTTGGAATGGAAATGTTTATCTTGTGCCATTGAATGTTGGAGGGGTTTAACTTTTCATTTGTACAGGGGCTCACAGCCTTACATCTTGGAGGAAACTGGGGACTTGAACTTTTCAGCAGTGCTGAGACTGTTAAGACTTTGGCAACTCTTAGAGATGAACTAAATGCCTTTTGCATAAACACATGTTCTTCAGGCTTTGGGGTCCAGGTGCAGAATGGTATGGTTTGTGTCTGGATGTTCCCACAAAGTCTCATGCAGCCCGGCAGGGGCGGGGGTGCTGCTTTTTGGCAGCGGCTGAATCTAGAGTTTGTGATTGGTTCATTATCGAGTGCTGGGATTGGAGGTGTGAGTGCTACATCCACTCCAGGGTGGGTAGCCTGCATACACTATAAGAGAGGAAAAGAAGCTTGTTCCTCCTTTTTGCTCTTGTTGCTTTTGGCATCT